TATATTTACTTCTCTGGCACCTAGGATATGACACAGAGAATATATCCAATAAATAAAATTAAAACTCAGAGATTACTTTTATTTGTGATAGATTTGTATAGAATAGTATATTTGTCTCCATGTGTGTTCTGCATTGTTTACAGCCACTACCTCTAGAACTTTACTGACACAGGAGACAGCTGGGTGTATACAACATTTCCCCAATTTCTAAGTAGTTGTTTCCAGGTATTATTTTATCTACTGAGAAACTACCCCTTCCTTCTGAAGTGCAGGCAATACATGGAAGATTCTCAATGAAGTAAATATTAATCAAATGTCAGAGCCTAAGAGCTGTGAAACTCTTCCGAACTGGCCAAATGACTAGGTTGTGCTGAATTTATTCTTTATTTCTCAGTTTTCTCTGAGAGTGCCAGACTCAGAACAACTACAGCAAAAAATATCAAAGAACTGCCTTAGGGCCAATTGCTTTGTCCTTGTTTATTTCACCAAGACAAGCACCTAACACACGATAAATGACTGTAACAAATGTACTCTTTTATTCTCAAGAGCAACGTGTCAACTCTGTGGGCAGACACTACAAATGTTTTCTAAACTTAAAAAAAAAAAAGCATTCCATGAGAAAAATAAAGAAGGCAAAAATATACTATTAAATGACAAATACTGGTAGTTTTAGAGCTCAAAGGTGATCCTAGTCATCATGTACTTTAACTCCTTTTATAAAGGAGGAAGCTGAAACCCGAATATCACCTAATGCCACATCATGCCTAATGTCACAGAAATGTTTGTGCACTAATCCCCAGTTCTTATATTCTGAACCTATTATTGCTTCTGAAATCTGGGATAATGAGGAGAGAAAGGACACACTGTTTCACCTTTGGCAGAGCATGGCAGGAAGTGGAGACCACCTGTTAAGCAGGTAAGAAAAAAGCAGTTAAGATGTTAATGAATTCATAAAGGCTGAGTATGGTCTGAATGACAGTTTAAAACTGCTCTGTCCAAAATGGTAGTCACTACCACATGTGCTATTTAAATTAAATTTAAAATGAATTAAAATTAAATAAAATTAAAAATTAGTGGTTACTGGATTGAATATTTCCATCATCCAAAAATTCTAGAACAGCCTGGTTTAGAATGATTGGGAGTCCATGCTGTCTAGCTGTTTCCCTGGGCCTCCACCAGGTGCCCATGAGAAATGTTGGGGGCAGGGCAGGGGACTGGAAAGAGTCTCCTTCTTAGGGGCACAGGCATACAGATGATAATCGCGGCCACTAAGAGGCCAGCAGGAAAACTTACTTCCCTGGACCTTTCTTGAATACAAAGCAGAGGCTTTAAGGTATTGGAGAGGGGTAGAAAAAAATCTTTCCTTCTCAGTTCTCAGAAAAGATCTCCCCTTCCGAGGGATGGGTAAAGACAAAGGATGCCTGTTACTGGGAGCAGGGCAGAAGTTCTCTTGGGTCCCTGATCCTGCACAAAGCAGAGTTCTGTTACCACTGGAGAAGAAGCAAACTCTCTGACCAACAGATATAAGGTAGAAGTGGGCTGTCGGTGTAAAGTGAGGGGTAGGAATGTTGACGAGCCCCACCTAAGACCACAAGTTTTGCCTGAGCCTGAGGCTGGATCAGGAGAACAAAGAACCTCCCCTGTTCCCACCAAAAACTTACACTGTGTAAACAGCAGCAGCAGTCTATTGCTGGGGGACCCCTTCTGTGGTGCAGTGTTCAGGCCTTGCTGACCACGAGGGGTAGAACCGGAACTCTGAGAAATCCTGTCTACCACTCCTGGCAGCCTACCCCTGGAAGAATCTGGAATCTGTGATGAACTTAAGGTGTCTAATACTTAAACCCAGTTCAACAATTGACGAGATTGACTTCCCTCCCCAATTAGCAGACTAGCAATCTGGTAAATTTAAATTCAATCATATCAATAATTACATTATCTATAAATAGTCTAGGCCTGCACTGTCTAAATTGGTAGCCAGTAGCCACATATGGCTATTGATGACTTAAAATGAGGCTAGTGCAGCTGAGGAACAGAATTTTAAATTTTATTGAATTTTAATTAATATAGGTTTAAAAGTAAAAAATGATGTGCAAATTTTTATATTGATTTTATGTTGAAATAATTATATTTGCTGAGGAACAGAATTTTAAATTTTATTGAATTTTAATTAATATAGGTTTAAAAGTAAAAAAATGATGTGCAAATTTTTATATTGATTTTATGTTGAAATAATTATATTTTAATGTAATGTGTTTAAAAACCATGCATTAAAATTAATTTCAAAAGTTTTTAAATGTGTAAAATTTAACATTACATATGTGTTTAAAATTCTATTTTTATTGAATAGTGCTGGTATAAACACTCCAATTAAAAGGCAGAAATCTTCAGAGGAGAAAAAAAGCAAGATCCACCTCTATGCTGCGTACAGGAAACTCTTTTACATGCAAAGACATAAGTAGGCTGAAAGTAAAAGGGAACGAGTATGTCATGCAAACACTTAACAAAAGAAAACTGAAAGTGCTATTTTACTATCAGACAAAAAGACTTCAACACAAGGCATGTTACTTGGGATAAAGAGAGGCATTGCATGTACGTAGAAGGGTCAGTTCATCAGGAAGATTTAGCCATCCTAAAAGTGTTTGCACCTAATAACATGACAACGGAGCTTCAAAATATGTGAAGCATAAACTAAAAGAAGTGAAAGGAGAAAGATAAGTCCACGGCTCTGGCTGGAGAGACTTTCATAATCCTCTATCAGTCATTATTAGAACAAGAAACAGAAGATCGGTCAGGATACAGCAGACTTAAGTAACCAACTTTACCTAACTAATGTTTATTGAAACTTCACCCAACAAAAATACCCAGCAAGATAGACCATGTCATAAAACAAAGCTCAACAGTTTCCAAGTAATTACAATCACACAAAATATGTTCTCCGATCACAACAGCATTTACCTAGAAGTCAGTAAAAATCTATGAAAAATTTTCAGATTTTTGGGCATTTAACCCATTTCTAAGCCCACATGTCAAAGAAGGAATCACAAAGGAAAAAGGAAGATATTTTGAATAGAAATCACTGCAAGTGCTAAAATATCAATGAGACATTCCAGAAATTTTTTAGCATTTACTTATCTAATTTGTACATGAATAATCAGATAAAGAACTGAATCCTCCAGCTTTGTCTGATTAGGAATAGCAGAGTGTGTGCTAATATATGCTCAGTCAGCAAATCACTACAGTTCTATGTTCTTTCTTGTTTTGTTTTTGGTCTTTTTTCCTGGTTTTCTCCCATTACTTGCTCAACTAAATTGAACTAACATTTATGGATCACCTATTAAGTGTGAGGCTTGGGAGAGGTGTTCATAATATTATAAAGATAAGTAAGGCAGAGCTTCTGATTTCAAAGAGCTTGTATTATATGCTAGCCTGCTGCCTGAATCTGACTTGTAATTCACCTTTTTCTAGAACTTACTGAAGACAATATTTTACCAGGTAAGTTTTTCCTTTAACTCAACTCATTCCTAGATGTGTTCATTATGTCTATAAACCTTGAAGGTCTTGGATCTGTGCCATTCCCAGTTTTTAAGACTCAGTACTGATCCTGGGACCCTGCCAATGGAGCCTTTAATTAATTTTTGACAGACATGTTAAAAATATGCCCTCTAGCTTGGTTCTGAGTTCTTGCTTCTTATTACTTCTCTCTCCTTTTATCCTAACAGACAATATCACTATGTCCTTTTCCTTAATTGTGGCCAGAATGATCACACATAGCTGGCATTTAAAAAATTGCAGTTCTTGGAAAACTTGCACTGAAGAATATGAGCAAAAAGAACTTCACTGAACCATTAAATTGCTGTAGTGATAAACTCTACTATCTTACAGATATAGGCTTTTCTTCTATACTTCAAGATATACAGTAGAATTGCATCTTCCTTTGAGATTGGATATTAATGTTAGAGAGTAGAGTGAAATTCACATATAGCTAAAACCACTCCTAAAAACTTCCTAATATCAGCATTAATACAAGACTTGGACTACTGAGGGTTCAAATGCCAGTGATTTTTTTTTCTTGGCATTTTTTTTGGGGGGGACAGTGGAAGTCAAGACTATTTTGAGGGTGAGGTGAAAAATAGCAAATGACAAATAAACATATCTTTGTCTCTCTCTCAGCTAAAAATGTATAATTAAGTTTGAGCAGGCTAAATATGAGTATAAATTTATTGTCTCAAAAACCAAATTGCGGGCTGGCCCGGTGGCGCACTGGAGAGTGCACCGCTTGGGAGCTCGGTGGCGCTCCCGCCAAGGGTTCGGATCCCATGTGGAGACCGGTTCCCGCTCACTGGCTGAGCACGGTGCGGGCGCAACACCGAGGGTTGCGATCCCGTTGCTGGTCCCCGGTACGGGCGCGACACCGAGGGTTGCGATCCCGTTACTGGTCAGTAAAAAAGACAAAAAGGAAAAAAAAACCAAAAAACAAAAACCAAATCGCTTAATATGAGAATACATGTAGAAAAAAATAGACAAATTATGATCACACTATTAAGTATATAGCAGAAAATTACATTGTCCAATTGTGAATCTAAAATTATCATTCAGTCTCAAAATACAAAACCAAAAAACAAAAACCAAATCGCTTAATATGAGAATACATGTAGAAAAAAATAGACAAGTTATGATCACACTATTAAGTATATAGCAGAAAATTACATTGTCCAATTGTGAATCTAAAATTATCATTCAGTCTCAAAATATATTACTTCATTGAGGTTTCCTTTTTTCTGGCTTAAAACAGATTTTTGTTTAATGAAAGGCAAACAGTAAACACAATCACACTTTGGCAAGAACCTGTATTCTTAATATAATGTGGAACTTTGAATCTGTGTCACTTGACTTCAAGGAGAGTGATTTTGCCATTCTAGGCTGACTTTCTTTCAATTACAGACTCATGAGAATACACTCAAAGAAGAAACACAGAGGACAATAGTACACATGATGCTTACTTGTCAACACCGTGATTGATCTGGATGGCTTGGTAACCACGTTTCCATTCACCACTACCAAAGTAATTATATAATAAAGGCCATGATAACTGGCTTTAAAGATAACAGGAGGAGGCAAAGTGCTGTTGAATTCCTCAAATTCAAAGAAATAATTTTTGGATTCACCAGTTATCTTCACAACATACACAGATGCTGGACTGATGACATCCGAAGCTTCTAAAGAGATGACGATGCTATTATCGTCTTGGACAGTTGCATGGAAAGTTGTAGCATTCTGTTTAAGAAAAGAGAAAAAAAGCAGATAGAGGTCAAATTCAGATTATTAGCAATAAAATTATACTGAGATAATTTTTCTTAAACTTTTGTGATAAAGTTATTTCTTAAAATAGAGTTACGTAGATACTTCAGTTACAAAAAGACAATCAGAAAGAGAGAGATTATCCCTCTTATGACTAATGATCTTCTTAGGGTTTTATTTTGAGGATTCTTCTCTACTGAAAAGCTGCTTCCAGTTTATAGATTGCGTCATGTAATCAACACAAAATAAACATCACATGAATGAGTAAATAATGAATGGAATTCATCCTGACACTCAAGTTCCAGGGAAGTCCTTGGATTCAGCTATGCTGGAGAAGTTACGTGGTTTGAAGAAATACTCTTTTTACTCTAGAGGGAGTAATGCTAATGTACTCCTAGGAAAATTCTAGGAGAATGCATCAAAGCAATTATTTTCTCTCTCACCTGTCAGTTCTGAAAAAAAAAGTAGTAGGACTGAGAAACCTGTGATAATCCTCTTTCTTAAAGATTAACCAGCCCTTAATAAGAGAAGCTAAGATGGTGAAGAAGGGACCAGACTGAAGATGTGCAGGCATCTATGAGAAGGACAGCACTGGGTGGACTGAAAACTTTGCTGCAAGTGTCCAGATAAATGTTTATGGACAATATTTGAAAAACGATTTGTGCAGTTGGTTTAATTATTCCTTCTTAACTCTGTCCCAGACTCCATAGGCAGAGTAAATCTTTCCCACTGGTTTCAAAAAAGACTCATGTACTTTGTATCACTTTCTACTTTGTTTTTAATTTATCTTCTGGGTATGTGCTATCTTGGACCAGTAAGTTATTTTACTGCTCTGAGCCTCAGATTTCTCTTCTATAACAGTGAGACCAAAAAATTGCCAAAACTTGTAAAGGATCTACAGCGATCCAGGTACTATGCCAGACACTTTGTAACTACAATCATCTCATTTAATATTAAAAATGACCACATGAGATAGGTATTATTATTTTCAATCATATTTGGTAGCTGAGAAAATTGAGGATCAGAAAGATCAAGTCACTTGCCCAAGCTCACAAGTTCAAAAAATTAGCTCCATTATTAATCCACATGTCTGCCTGTCTTCTCCTCTTGACTTATTTTCCTAACACTAAGTCTGTCACACAGCTCATAACTGCTAAGTATCTGTTAAGTGAATGAAAAAATTGCTGATTGCATTAAGTATATGAGGGTGTCCACCTTTTAAGAATTAATCTAGTTATTGATTTTGCAACCTCACATATTGTCAGCAACCAAATCAAGCACAAGATACACACCAGTACCCTAAGAAAGGCTTTATAAACCTAAAAGTGTATTGATAATTTTTTTCATATTTTTTTAAGAAGTCTAGTTTTTATGGGTCCTAGCACTTACAAAGAATATCTGACATTAATAGAAATTTAATTCTCTCTTACCATATAATAGACTAAATTGTGTTTCTGGTATTCTGACCGTACTAGACCATAAGCCCTCTAAGGTCAGAGACTATATCTTATTTCCAGCTCCAAGACTAATGCCTGGCACCTGCTAGGTGCTTCTTGATGTGGGTGGTCCTAGGCAGATTTCTGTGACATGAGATCATCACCATGAATTTTACAATATCCCTTTGTCTACATTGTCTCTCCTTCTCAGAGACGTGGGCAGATTTCTGACAACAGAGTAATGCATTTCTGGGAACAAAGATAAAATGTGAGCCATTCTATACAGCCAGTGGTCCAGGTGGAACTGTGAGGCGAGTATAAAGTTCATAAGAGCATTTCATTGTTTAGGTGAGAAGCATAAAACAGAAGAAAACAGAGAAGTACAGGGAAAGCATTTAATGTGATGGCACATACGCGGAACTCACAAATATTACCTCCTCTTTCCCTTCCCCATTACCTTCTTTTGGAATAAGTTTCTGCAAATTCTGCTTCAGTTATGACCATGTGAACTCCTACTTGGCTGTCCCTCTAGCAGATAATGACCATACACTTTTGACAAAATAACAAACCACTGACCAAAGACTGCAACATGAACAAAGGCAGAAAGACTGGAGGGAAGCTGACACTTGAGAGAAGGTACTGGCACAGAATGAGTTATTTTTGTTTATCTATCAATCACTTTATCTATCATCTATCTATCTATCTATCTATCTATCTATCTATCTATCTATCTATCTATCACCTATCTCAGTTTATAGCCAGAGGACAGAGCCTGCACTCAGCACCATGTGAGACGGCTAAAACTCTGACAAACTCTCATAGACTTTCTGGCTGGATACAAAAGATGACAGAATCTGGTCAATCAAGACTATGGAAAGGGAGTGGAGAATCCTGAAGAGAAGGGCGCCAGAGAGAGGGGCCCCTAATCTCTGCCAAAACCTCAGTCTGACCCTTGAGCCATGCGTGTGCAGGGCAGACTACAAGCAGCCCAGTTGAAGCTAAAAGAACTGTCCTAAGGTTTGAGCTGCAGCTCACAAGAGTGTGTAGTTTGCACCCAACCAAGTGAATTTCCTGCTAAGACAAAAATATTAATTTCATTAGAAAAACATATTAGTATCTGCAGTCTCCACAACATAATACTGTCACGCACCACATAATGCTATTTTGGTTAACGATGGACTGCATGTACGACGGTGGTGGAACTGTATAGTCTAGTTGTGTAGTAGGCTATATATCATCTAAGTTTGTGTAATTGCACTCTATGATGTTTGCACAATGACAAAATCTCCTAGTGATGCATTTCTCAGAATGTATTCCCATTGTTAAATGACACATGACCATATTCACAATATTTAAGAAATAGTCCAAAATTAGTCAGTATACAAAGAACCAAGAAAATTTTGTGACAAATTTTCAAGAGAAAAGACAATCAACAAAGACCACCTCTGAGATAATCCACATGTTGAATAGAGCAAATAAGTACTTTTAATCAGATATTATAACTATGCTTAATAATGTTAAAAAGGATGCTCATAATAAATGAAAAGGCAGAAAATCTCACCAGAGAACTACAAACTTTTAAAAAAAAGAAAAGGGAAATTCTAGAACTGAATATAGTTCTGGGTTGTTTAATCACAAAGCCACCCTCCCCCCCTTTTTTAAATCAAGAGAATCCTTGCAATATAGCCGTGATACATTTGGTTTGTCCTCAGTTCTTCAGTCCTAGATGGTGTCCTGAAGAATGAAGCCATGCAACCAAAAGGAATTTCAAAATAACCAGAGCCCAAGTAGAGTGCTGCCTCTGCACCAGGACCTGGAGAAGACCTCTTGTTCCTCTGCACACACAGCTACAGTGAACAAGATTGCTGTGTGGTGATGGGCACGCTCCTCTGAAGGGAGGTTAGCGCAGGGGTGGTCTTCCACCATCAGGGTGAGACCAGTACCAGATGTGCCCCAGGCTTTGGCCCCTGAAATCTTCTTCCTTGCTACTCAGTTCTGATGGCATCACCCATCAAGATCACTGTGTTCTGGAACTGGACTATCTGCCTGCCTTGTTGCTGTTCTGGGGGAAGAAACCTGCCCCTATCTGGGCCAGAACTTGGAGCACTTCCCTTCAAGGTTCGCCTTCAGAGGACAAGTTGCCCTGACCTAGAAGATGACCTAAAACCTCTCTCCTCTCTCCACTCCTTCCATAGGAAGGTTAGAAGAGAAGGAATGGAAGGTCAAGGAACCAAGTGCCTCCAGTGGAGGTGAGAGAGGCTCTGTATGAAATAGGGAAGGACAGGGAAATAGAAAAGGAAAAAGCCAACGTAAAGGCTGGTGGCTGGCTGGCTGACTGCAGGGTAATGGAGGGGCAGATCCCCTCCCCTGCCAGGGTCTGAGATGCCATCCATTTTCTCCCTCTTCTTGTTAATCTAGGAGCTTCCTATTCCATGTTGGCGTTTGAGGGCTCCTCTAGAGGAAAGGCTTGTTCTACACTTGAATTGATTCCTGGGGGTTTTATCTAAAGGAGCAAAAAGGGCCTTGGGATGGGGATGTCTGAAAGCTAAGATAGCAACTGATAGCTTCTTCCCCTTTGCAAATAGTATTCTTTTTACTTCATCCTCACCATTTCAGGCCTTACACGTGAAATCCCTAGAATGGAGGGTGTGAGGAAAATGGACGCATTATAGTCAGGCCCCCTAGCCTCATATCCAGCTGGGTGTGATTCAGCACATCCATTGCAAACAATTATGTAAGAGTAGTGTAACTGTGCACGTGAGCCCATGTACTCCTTAGCTCGTTGCCACTAGTGTGCGATTTTGGTATAAAAGATGATGGCTCTGAACTGCTGGCAGCAGAGTGCACGTCAGAATAAAGCATGTCTACCCTGCCATCAGCTTCTAGAATCTTTTTTCAACTACTTGTCTCACGACCCACTAGTGTGCGATTTTGGTATAAAAGATGATGGCTCTGAACTGCTGGCAGCAGAGTGCACATCAGAATAAAGCATGTCTACCCTGCCATCAGCTTCTAGAATCTTTTTTCAACTACTTGTCTCACGATCTGCACAGGACAGGTCAGAGGGGTCTGTGATTCAGTCCAACAGAGGGGGTGGGGTCTTCTGTTCCTCCCTGGAGTAGGGGACAGTGGAAGAAAGATATGTATTTGAAGAACATTCAATTTAACAACAAGCTTCTTTATCCTCCTTTTGCCTGTGGTTGTGTCCTGAGCCCATTGGTCCTTTTTTGCCAAGAGAGAGAACAAAGGTCTTCAACTGCTTCTCTTCACTTCTTCATGCCCAAATCAAATACACATATACAAATGTTCCTAATCATTAAAAAGAAAAATTGATATTAGATTATTACCTGTATAACATAGGTTAGTACTGACACCAAATGTACCTTAAGTCCTGACTAAGCCAGGCTTATTCACCTGGAGAACATTTTTAAAGAAAGTTGATGTCAACCACGGCATTTTACTGACTAAGACTTGAAATTAATAGAATTCTACTTATAATTCAAGCAACTGTCAGTATCATTCTGAACACAACTAAAAAGT